CCATATGTCCCGGACCGGCTGAATATCTCGGAAAGTATGCGCTTTTGAGAAAAATATTTCAGACAAAAGTTGCAATATATAATGTAGTGTATTTAGTGATGTTAGCAGTTTGACCTTAGGTGGCGTCGCCAAGGTCAGGTCAAAGTCAACTTTGGTTTTTTAAATAGAAATATGTATTTTTTATTACGGAATTTTATTCTACATAAACAACTTTCGTTTGAAAAATTTTTTCATATTTTAAGAAAATGTAAGAAAATGCAGTACTAAAAAGTTAATAAAAAATTCTGAAAAATTCTGAAAGCTCTATGAAATAAAAATAAGCAATTTTTATATCTTGCCGTTTTTCTGTAAAGTTGATAGAATTCGAGTAAGAAATTATTGAATAATTTCCGCAAATATCTGTTATAATCGTAAGATAAAATATTATTTTAGGCGCTGCTGAAACGCTTCACAAAGAACCGTTTCGACCGCGCTACACTCGGCAGCGGATGTGCAAGTGCTGCGCTAAGCACCACCTTGCACATTCCGCCTCGGCCTTTGACCTGAAACGTGCTGGGCTAATCCCAAATTTAGCAACTTCTTTGTTGCTAAGGCAACCTCCGATAAAGTCTAACAACTATTATAAAAAGACCGGAAAAGACCGTGCGAGAGGGAATTCTTCTTCCGGTCTTTTGCCCGCGACGTTCGTGCCTGTCGCGCATCCCGCGCTTGATTATAAGATTTCGGGAGTTTAACAAATAAATTAGTGCTCGTTATAATTGTTATGTAGGACAAAACATGATGAAACGCTAAAAGACGTTGCAGCCGAAATGCACGTGTTGCATAAACGAACACTGCGAAATACGGCAAGTAAATCAAAAATGCACGCGCTGCAGAAACATCACGTTACACTTTTGAATTGTTGGGTAATTAGGTCGGTAACCTAATTCCCTAATTTCATGAATGATATATAAAGAGTTGGATCACCTACTCGAGAGAGAGAGTGGAGAGAAAAATACTGTCCAGTCTAGAGGCGCACGTTACATGTCTCAGGTGAGAGACAACTGACTCGAGAGTAATACGAGTGTCCTGCATTACAATAACGCGATACATTAATCTAATCGGTGTAGGATAAGCTAAAAAGTATATATGTGAAGTGCAATAAGAGCGGGATCAGGAATTGTAAGAAGACAAGTTCTATTACATTGAATAATACATTTGATTAAGAAACTCCTCAAGACTACTAGATTCCCTTATTATCCTATACGTTTGCACGTCTGCAACGGATCCCAATTACCGGTTGTGCTTATCGTAACCAAGGGCACAACATAATAAATTCAGTTTATTACAAGATATTCGACTACATTTGGTCTGACCTCTCACCGCCACACACCCTTCCGCGCTTGCAACACCGACTCCCAAAATTCCTTTCCCTCGCACTCGACGGAAAAGGGCACGACATATCTTAAAAAAATAGAGGTCGTATAAAAAAATTGTTCAAACAAAAGTTATTTGTTTCTTTATGTAAAATAAAATTCTACGTATTAAAAAATACATATTTCTATTTAAAAAAGCAAAGTTGACTTTGACCTGGCCTTGGCGACGCCACCCAAGATCAAACTGTTAACATCACTAAATACACCACTTTATATATTACAACTTTTGTCTGAAATAGTTTTTTCAAGTGCATACTTTCCGAGATATTCAGCCGGCCCGAATATATGAGACACCCTGTATTATATAAGGGACGACAGGGAATTATCCGGCTTAGCGAACCGACTACCATCGACGGCGGTCTAATCGCTTCATGTTGACATTGCCTCGTTTCAGCGAACCCCACGGTGCTCTTATTCTAAGTGCAATCCGTTAGACGACTAACAAGATATCAGTAAGCAAATTAGGTGACTATGTGGATGCATAGTTAAATAACGGCGGCTGCGGCTATACGCGTAATTCGATTTTCATCATCCCCTATATAATCGCCGTAACGTTCCGCTCGCACGAGGGCAAAACAACACTTCGACCGCGACCGTCGCGTCGTTCTCTCCGCGCGAGAATTTCGTCTGCCGTTCTTTACTTCATCACAGACATTAGGTTGCGATCGGGAGGACTTCCGATGACTTCCTTCATCGACCATTTCGACTCGCGATGCTCCGTCGTCACGTTGTGCCGGTGAAGAAATGATCCCGACGATCGTTGTTTTCGGTGCGTGACCAACTTGGATAAAGTTGCAGATAGTTGTGCTCGTAAGACAAAAAGTCAAGCGGTGAGAATGAGCGATGTGAGAAGAGAAAAAGACATGGAGGCTGCGGGCCAGGAGACGGACAACTATGTACTTCATCTTCCTCGGCCGCTCAATCTCGAGGAGAAGAAGTACCTGTTGGCCGTAGAGAGAGGTGACCTGCCCAATGTGAAGAGGTTGCTACAACTTGCAAACAAAGGCAAGGTAAAGATGAGTTTCAATTCGAAAAAAAGCTTTACGCCGAATTCAAACGTCACAAAAATAAAACGTCACTGCAAACAATGTAAACTTTGCTTGAATCGGAGGAGGTCTTGACCATTTGTCGACATGCAAAGATATTATGAAACACCACACCTTCGCAGCATTGCGAACGCAGGTCAGCGTTGGATGCTGTACCCAGTCAACCCACGATATTCTATAGATATCTTATGGACATTTTTAGGACATATGGACGTCTTTAGGATGTCCCTGGAGGATTTGTGTTATTGGGGGTGACACTTTACTACAATACTGTGACCACGATTATTTCCTGCCGCTACAATACCATAGAATTCTTCAAAATTGACGTTTTTTATTAAGTTTACCCCTTTCTTTCTAAATTGTGATGTAATAGCCAAATTTAAACAATAAATTTGTGCTTAGCATCGAAAATTATTTTTGACACTCGTGAGGCAAAATGACGTCAAACAGTGTTATTGATCAATTGAACAGATTTCATTTTTTGCTTTATGCTTTCGTTCAGTGAGCTCATCTTTCATACGTAGCAACTGCAAGAAAAGTGTTACGCTTTAATTGGAATTCTAAGTAATTTTATTCTTCAGTTACTGAACAATATTTAATATAGTTATCCAATGACTGTTCAAAAATTATATTAAATTTCTACTAAGGGCAGTATATATTAGGACCTTAACTTAGTTTCCGCCCGCAAATGTTAGATGGCAATGCAAACAGTTCTAGTAGTCATTACTAACGAAACAGGTAGTTTGTGATTAATTTCGACATTTCTCGATAACATTCAGTCAGCATACACAATTATTTTCCTAAACAACAATTTCTTTTGCTTTGTGAAAAATGGAACGCGATAAAGTGTTTTTTCGACATGTGCTTTTGCACTATTTTGATTTGAAAAAAA